CACCACATTTTAGAAGTCGGCGTTCTTGATTTTATTTACCGACAAATTCATACGCAGCAGTTCTAGTTTCCAGTAATTTATGGAGCAACTTTTAGCAGCCCCATTCGATCTCGCCATTACTACCCCATGGGAGTCTGTTCTTTTTTTCCCTCCCTTTTACTGCTTTTATTTGCTTAATTAATTTTAGCATACAATGAGGACATTATATGAAATAAATGTGGGGTAGGGGGTCGAAAAAGGAATATAAATTGGAAAATTAACAATTGCTAGATTAGGAAAATTTAAAAACTTATAAACTTGAAATAATAGTTTAATTTAGGAAAATCTAATGATAATTTAAATTTTTGCTAATATTGTATGGGATGATCCAATGAGAACCCAAATGTTTATCTGAGCCTACCTATGTTATAGTATTTTGTGGCTTCCCATTTCCTAGTGAAAAGTCATGAGATATAAAAGGTAATCTGGTAGTTTATATGACATAATATGTTTTGCAGCCTAAACCTGAAATCTATCTAGGAAAGCTTATGTAGCCATTGTAGATAGACTAATACATTTAGCCAATAAGGGTTGAGGTTAATCCCCCCTGCTTAAGCATGTAGGTTTTGAGTGAAAAAAAGTGAGATACGTATAAAAAAAGTGACAAATTACCGAAAAAGTTGAAATTTTTTGGAGCTATCAAGTATGAAGATCAAAAGATCAAAATTCCAAAGAATCAAAAAATTAAAGATACCAAAAATCCAAAAGGTGGTGAATTCAAAGAAATCAAAGATCAAATATTCAAAGAAATAAAGAATTCCAAAGCTCCATTGTGGCATCAAAAGTTGTAATTTCTAGATTATGTATGCTTAGGTAGCTTTACAAAAATACCTTGAGGTAAAGAAAGATTTATGAGGATCGATTCGGAGGGTTGCAGAAATGAATGTCGTATAAAGTAAGGGGTGAATGTTCACAAGGATTGTGAGTATTTAGGAGTAGGAAGTTCTTAGGATTTATAGACACAAATACATGCATTGTGGTCTTGGGATAATGACTGAGTTTAAAATGGATTGTTTTATGTGATATTGGTAAATTAAAAGTAAGTTTGCTTGGGGGCAAGCAAAGGCTAAGTGTGGGGTATTTTGATATGTGTATTTTTATATATTATATCTTAATATTTTAGCCTTTATTATTCTTATTTAGAACTAAAAGTTACTTATAATGCTTTGAATTATACAGCCATTAGTTGTCGATAGAGCGGAAAAGAAAAGATTGGAGCGGAATTCGGTCTTAGAAGCAAAAAGAAAGAAAGATTGTTGAAGGCTTTCATTACGCCCAATGTAATATAAGTTACGTCAAGCGTACTGATGAGACAAGGACTATGCCCCACGTAGAAGTAATTACACCCAATGTACTGAGCTTGTGTCCGAAGAATGGATCAGGATGGCTTTCTTAGTACGCCCCGTATACACCGACTTACACCCAACATACGTAAGTCGGTTCCAAAAGTTATAAATAGCGAATTCAGCCAACCAGAAGAGAGATTTCGACTACCATCGATCCTTAGTTGACAAGTAACACTTATTTGGCTGTTTTGAGGGTCTAAAAGGCGGCTGGAAGACCGTTAAGCTGACGAGAGCGAAGATCTGAAGGACTATAGAGAGGATTCGTTTCAATAATCATGTGGTTTGTTATCATGACCATGTTTAGCATTCCATTGTGATACTACTACGTTTTTACTGTCTGATTTTAGTGTTGAAACCATTTGCTTTATGTTTATGATTAAATAAAACCTTGATTTATGGATTACTTGTTATATTGGATTGTTTTATTTATGTTTAATTTATCTTTCCAAACTTGTTAAAAGATCCTTATGTGTTAATGACAATTATTTTCTGTTAATTATTAAGTATATTGAGTTGTATGAACATCTGCTTGATTGCTTACCTTTTATAATTTTGATGACCATCAAGATTATATGCCTAAGAATAGCGAGCGTGAAACTAGGATTAACTAGAAAATAAGTACATTAATGTGTGATGACCAACCACATATGATTTAATTGAACCAACCAATTTGATTAACTATTATTACAAGTCTTGCTTGATACGAATTGAACACTAGGAAACATGTTACTTTAATCAATTGATCATTGCTTGAATTAACTTATTTGCTAAAGGATTAGTAATAATGAACATGAACCTAATCATTTTAGAAATCGGTGAACATAAATAAGTAATCTGTATGTGCACTTGAAATTGTCTATGATTTTAAGGTATAATCTGTCTAAACTAAAGTACCTAAAGAGATTTGACTTCCTGTCAGTTTATCGAGTTTTGCTATTTAGTTATTCGTTGAGATTTAATAATACATTTCTTTATTCCTTTCGTGTGTTTTGTAACCTATAATCAAACATTTTAAATTAATTCACTACCGTTCCCCTTGAGTTCGACACCCTTGTTTATCAAAGTTATAGTATACTCAATCGGGTTTACTGCCTGTAAGGTGTGGTTTAGAAGCGATAAATTAGGAATTATAAATAAAAAAACTAGTGCATTAAATATCTACATCATTTATTATGTTGTAAGTTAACCATAGATCACTAGTACAAAAATCAACAATGGCCACACCACAAAAATGTGACCGTATGTTGTTAGCCACACATTATTTTTTCAGCTCAAGTGAGGCGAAAAGTCGTGTCTATATTGATATCATACGACGACATTATAATTTAGTGGTTGTAGCAACCGAAAAAGTGTGATTGAATCATTAAAGTGTGGCTAAAGAGTACTAACATTTTATTGTAATCAATGATTTCATCCATTAAGTGTTGCTATAAACGTTTTCTAGACACATAAGGATTTTTTTCGATTGTGACTGTTGGTCATACAATTGCCTCATGAGTTTATTGGTCATGTGGCGATATATATTATTTTGTCACAAAAAACAGTTTTTACTAAGTTTTTAGTCGTATAGATTTAAGAAAAGTATGGCTAACGAGTTGTCATAATCAAGGATTTCGTCCATTAAGCATGAGTATAAACATTGTCTACACACACTTGTTTTCTGATTATCACTATTTCTTATATAACGATCACATGAGTTAATTGTTAGTGTGGTCGTAGCTACTATTTCCTTACATAAATGATTTTTTATTGAGTAGATTGTTAATGTGGTTATACTGAACATTGGGTTACAACTTTTAATGGACAGCATTCATGATGGAACATAATAATCATTTTTTAAAATTTTTGCAGAAAAGTACAACAATAAAATGTGATTAAACATATCAAATAAATGATTTTATAAATTCTAAAACAATATCGGTACATAATTATTCAATTTAAATACAAAAGATATGAGTTGATATCAAATGAGATCTACAATACTTGAAAATGCTAATTAACATATTAACTAGGACCTATATCTCTAAAGGTTTGAACTTGTTCGTCTTGCTCCTTGTATGTTTGTTCATTGCATCTGCCATTAGAAAAGTTTTCTTTTGCTTCTTAGAAATGTGATGTTCAATGTTATTGATGCGGTTGTAGTTGGAGTTGGGTCATGTAGAAACAATAGTAGTTAGTGTTAAAGTTTGAAATAGGAATGCAAATTTAAGTAATTTAGTAGTCTAATTTAAGAAAGATAATATGTCAAGCTTTAAGGAAAAGAATTAAAGGAACAAACCAGATCATCACTTTTAAGAGGGTATTTCAGCCAAGCAATAAGACTTCTATATGCACTTTCAACCATTTTGATCTTACGAAATTCTACCGGTATAATTATGAGGCTAACAACATATGGTCACATTTTTAAAACTTAAAACAAACATGTATAACCCATTTAAAACTTGATTTAAATGTTGGGTATTCTGTGGATCCAGTCGATGTGGTGTGCAGGGTATTTTGTTTATGAGCTCAAGGTTCTTTTAGTTCAACAAGGTTGACTAGTGTGGGTTCATTTTCATTCTCAAATGAAAAAAAGGATAAATTACCGGTATCTGTGTACTCACTAAAACTAATCTATGATTTATGATGCCAAAGATGCTTAACTAAGAAACCAAAAGTGACATCAAGAATCATATCAAATTAACTACTACGAGGACAGGAAATAGATAATTAAACTTTCAGGAATCACGCAAAATCCAAAACAAATAACTACTATGGGGAATCATGCAGGTAATAGTGTAATATTAGAAAGAATAATCAATCACTCAATGAAAAATCATATATATAACAAATAACTACTATGTGGAATCATGTACGTAATAGTGTAATACTAGAAAGAATAACCAATCATTTAATGAAAAATCATATATATATATATATATATATATATATATATATATACACTAGAAAATTTTGAGGTCCGTGCTAAGCACGGCCCATGTGTAGTATTTGGAATATCGTTGAAAAACCATTAGACTATATCGACAAACCATACTAAAAAATCATTAGATATAACCGGGAAATTAACATTGGAATATAGTTGATCATATGCATGACTATTGTTTGCATTCCAATTGCATGGTTTCCATTTATGTTGTATATTTGGGAGATATTATTTTACAAAAAGAATTATCGCATTCATTTATTTTACAAGTTGTTTAGTTTTAAGCCGACATTGCCTTTAACCAATTTATCTTAACTTGTTATGAATTGTTGTAGTTTTTTGTGTTTGGAAAGTTTCATAATGGGTTAATGTTTAACTAAATTAAGAATATAAAGTTGATATTGTTTTTAAATTTGGGTTATGGATATATGCAATGTAAGGTTATGTAGTATAAACACACATTTTGTGGGCAATTTACTAATGTCTTGTGTGGTTTGTTTTTTTGTACTTTTCAGAATCAACAACAAATAATTAGTCTAAAAAAACTATATATTAAACATAATATGTAATAATATATTATCTTTGGAGTTAATTACATAAAACATAACTATGGGAATTGATCAATATAATATCCAAATGGAATTAACACTATGTAACATAATAATAGTTTAGAAATTTTATTCAAAATTTTTCTATTTACTTTTTTTTGTTGGTCTTGATGTGCCAGCTAACCATGTTTCCATTTGTTTTGCTTTCCCATTGTCTGGTTGGTTTCGCTTATGTGTTTGTTTTGGAGAATGTGGTTTTGTTGTTAACAAAGTTGCATCTTCATTTGATAGTTGGAGTTGTTGTTTGTTTTCCATTTGATGTTCCGGGAGTATATGTGTCTTGACAACGACAAATCTTGTGATAGGGTTATCTTGGTTTGATGCCTGATATGATCGTACATATGCAAGAAGTGGCAATGATCCAATTGATTTTGTAATTAAATCTTGTACATTTTTATCCTGGTTTGTAAAATGTTAATATTAAATATAGAATTTTTAAAATACATTTGTAATATGCGTGAGTTAGTTATACAAGCAGCAATTGTATCATATTTGCTTCCATTTCGAACAACTGGCAATGTTTGCCTAAAATCACCACCTAGTACAACTACTTTGCCTCCGAAGATTTCACTTGATTCCATAAGATCTTGTAAAAGGTCATCTAGCGCTTCTATTGCTTGTCTTTTTGCCATTGGAACTTCATCCCAAATAATTATCTTACAAGTCTTAATCAATATACCTAATGAACTTTGTTTACTGATCCTACAATTTGACCTATCTGACAAATCTAATGGAATCTTAAATCTGGAATGTGCTATCCTACCTCCCGGTAGTAATGAGGCAGCTATACCTGATGTTGCAGTTGCTAAAGCTATGTGTGCCTTTAATCTGATGTTTGCTAATAATGCTCTATATAGGAAAGTTTTCCCTGTACCACCTGGACCATCAATAAAAAATGCTCCACCATTGTTACTTTCTACTTTACCAATTATTGTATCAAATGCGAGTTTTTGTTTTTTGTTGAGATTTTGTATTGCTCTTTGATCTTTTTCTGATACAATTATACTTTTTTCTGTTGCTATTTCTCTTGTGTCATCTTCTAAATCAGCAAATGATAAATCATTTGGCAAAATATCGAACTCATGAAGTTTTCTTCCATTAGGCTGTAGCAATGTATCGATCTGCTGAAATGCACATCGCTTTGCTTCGGCTAATGAGACAACGTTGCAGTGCAGAAAATCTTCTAGCATGGCATCTTTAAATGATTCCCATAATTTTCTTGGATTACTTGGATTTGTATACACAAGTAAGGTAGCATAAAGTCTATGTAACTCATATGGCATGTGGAAATTTGATGCCTATTCCAAACATAATTGTTGGCTATTATCATCAAGTAGGTATCCATGTAGTAATGCAGATTCTCGAAAGGTGTCAACTCTTTTCCCTTTACAAATCTTTAGGTCTTCATACGACTTTGGACATCTTTTTTTTTTTTTTATAATAGTAGTCTTAAAAAATATCTTTCGCCTTCACTTGGGTGTGCCAACACTATTCGTCCTATTGAATCTTCCATTTGTCTAGGTAACCAGACTTTCTTATTTGCCTTCCACACAAAATGCTCAGGAAACTCAACATTTGTTAAATTAAGATGTTGTGCATATCTATATGTACTATTTTGAACAAAAAACTCGGTTAACATTGTTTTTCTTTTTGCGTTATTATCTACAATATTAGTCAACCGTTCTTTCTTCTTGAATGTTATTGGTTGGTAATTTTCCAAATGTAGAGGCAAATGAATATCTACTGGTTTGATTTCACCTAATGGAAGTCTAAAAATTCTCCAAGCTCCCTCTGGGGGTGATATCCACCTACCGGCTTGAAATTGATCAATTTCATTTGTGCTTGAATGATCATCTTGGGTTACAGAAAAACTTATTTTGTCACATCCTTTGCATATGTATTTATAAATGTATTTCACAGCCTTTATTGTAGAGCATATTTCTATATTTACATGATAATCAAACTTACAAAGTAAATAGGGATTGTATGGAACAAACCATCTGTTATCTAGCTTGGCACCTCGAACAATAACTTTAACTCCATTGTCACGCCTTCGATATGCTGGATATGCATCATTATTTTGTGTTGTTACATTTGAAAATGCTTTTGGATGAAAAATTCTTACAATATCCTTTTTTTCATACAAACATTTTGGGGATTAAGATCACCACATGGACCATGAAGCATATGTTTCACTACCATACGAAATAGATGAGGATTTGAACTTTCATTTGGTATTTCTGCTGAAACTATTTCATCATATTCTTCAGCATGGTACATCTTATAAAGATTTCCAAGTATAAGCAAAAAATGAGCATGTGGAAAGTGTGTGCAACAACCTTTCCAAATATTTCATTTTTGAAAATCTCTTTCTTAAATTGCTCAAGTTTTGCATGGAATACTCTAACAATTAAATCCGCTCTATTTTGTGCTTCCTCATGACGCATCATGTGTTTTTTGATTTCAGGTTATGGTTAAAAAAATGTCTGGCTTTCCAAACTTTTGGACCAATGCCATAGCATCAATGTATTTTCGTCTCATGTTCCTTGGATCACCAATAAAATTTGCTGGTAAAACTACTCTTTGGCCAATTGCCGATGCATTTGTCTCACCACTTGCCATAGCTTCTACAACTCCTTGAAGAAACTCTTGTCGTAACTCTTGTTGTTGATTTCTCTAAAATTATAATCTTTGTGTGTCTAATTTTACATAACTATGAACTATATATTTTTTTAATAAGCGACCAAAAAGCAATATACATGATTTATCATGTAAACGTATTTGAAGTTTGTAGGCGTAATATTCTCTAATAGAGACACAACTTGAATCTTCTATAGTTTTGTTCATAACTGCAAAAAAATATTATTAATTTCTAAAAAATATTAATTAGTTTTAAGTAGTAAGTTGTAGAAAAAAAATTAATGGAACAACTTACTTGTTTGTTCCATAGTTAATAATTCATCAGCATTTGTAGCACTAAATGGCGAAATAAGCCTTTCTGCCGAACTTGTACCTTTTCCACTAATTCCTTGTTTACTTTTACTTTTTTGGGGAATGTGTTGATGTCATCCATGTTCTCCAAATGGAAACATTAAAGGGTACTGTAAAGGATCATAACAACCATAATAGTACTCAATAGTCCTTGGTAGGTCACTATGTGTTCTTACTTGTATATTTCTACGACCATGTTCTCCGTTCTCCTCCCCTTCTACCCAAAGTGCTGCCACTTGTGAAACTTCTGGCTTATTATACACTCGTTGATCTTGTGCTGGAATAGTCTTAAGAATAATATTCATTCAAAGATGGAATGTCACTTAAATTTCTAAAAAAACATGCATATGGATTATGTTGTAGATAACTTATACACATTGCAATTAACCCTTTGGATAAACGTGGAGAAGATGTGTGTCGATTTTCTATTTCATTGTTTGTATCATGAAAATATAATTGAAGGTTTTAGGCTTCTTTTTCTTTTGGTTGTAGATCGTTCATGAAGTGATATAGTTGACCTTGCACTCTAAAAGTGTATATACCCTTATTTCGTCTTGTAAGTTTTTTATCAGCTGTAACACCCAATGAAGTGAATGCGAAATTATTATTATATGTTCTAAATGATTTTGCTTCTTCAGAGTTAGATGTTAATAAATCTTTCATTACTGTTAGGAGTTCATTACTGGATAAAACTATAGGACCTTCTGAACAACAAAAATTTGATGTTTTGTAAAAAAATAATTCACAGCATGACAATAGCAACAACATCTTACTTCTGGAAGAACATCAGCATATAAAATTACTTGTTGTAAGAGATGCTTACCTTTACTGTTGCTATTTTTTTTGCATAGATGTGTTGATTTCTCATTGGATGGACCTAAATCTCTAAGTATTCTTTTGTTTTTGCCTAGATATGTTGATTTCTCAGTGGATGGACCTAAATGTGTAGGTTTTCTTTTGTTAAGTCTTTTGCTTTCTTCAGTTATGGTTTCATTTAAGTTGCATTTACTTGTTTGTATGGTATCAATTAATTGTCTCTTTGACTTGTTTAGTGTAACATTTGTATTGCACGTCATCTTTAATTTCTTCTTTTTCCATTTCATAAGGGCTTCCTTTCTTAATTTTTTCTTATAAGTAGGAGCATTAGTAACCATATCTAACTTCTCTATTATCTCATCACATTTGTCAATGTTTTTTTTCCAATTTATGATTGCTATTCTCCTGTATAGTTTCTTATCTACCTTGGAACAACCACCAACAATTATTTCTGTGTGAATTTTGGATGGTTGATGATTACCAATCATGGTATTGAAATCTAATGACAAACGTATAACAATTTAATTAATGCTATATCATACAAGTATACTGATGAATGTATTCTTCTATCTGAGACCTGTAATTTGCATTTTATTGTCAGTTTAGATAAAGATAATAATATTGTGCTAGTGAAAAAATGGACAATATTTGTAATTAATGACTTACATCTCACATGTTCGGTTGTTTGCTTGCAATCCTTTTGCAATTGCCAATTTGTTAATTTCGTGGTGTGTTGATGATCTGATCTAGTTCATTACCAATAGTTAGGTCATTTTCAATTAACAAATAAATTATGATTGTATATACATTAAAAAAGATAAGTGATTATACCTACATGCAAATTTTATTTAAATGATTAGTGTTCCATTAATTGAATTAATGAATATAGATTTAAAAGTTGTATGCAAATATGCCTATAAATATTTAAAATAAAGATTGTAATGATGCTATTCTTCAAATCCTTTTTATAAAGCATGAAAAAATTTTCACTCGTCATTTAACATTCATATGCATTGCACCATCTTTTTCAACAAATAATGCTAATGAAATTTCTTTAATTAATTTCCAAAAATTGTACTTGATATCATATTCAGATTATTAACATATACCCAAGATAGGTATTCCTGAAAGGAGAATTGCATTGTTAGCCTTCTGGAGAAACAAATTTACAACACATAGATAGTATTGATGTAAGATCAAATTTGCATTTTTTTGAAACAAGCAAATTCACAACATACATGAAAAACATTGTTATAGCAAAAAATAAAAAATAAAAAACAAAACAAAACAAAAAAAACCATTTGGGGGTTACTTTAGTCCTTCTATACTGCTGTAAAAAAGTGAGAGTTTTTAACAATATAAGATAAACTTTTAAGAATATGTTGAATTATATTTTCACTGCTTACCATCAATCCTAATGTAATTTTCATCATTAAAAATCCCAAACAACATATTATGGCTTTTCCCAAAAGCCCTTAATCAGATGTGTTGTTCAATAACATGAAAAAGGTTGAAAATTCAAATGCACCCAACCCCCATAATATGAGTTCCTTTTAATTTGCTTATTAAGAAACTTTAAAGTATATCTATGTATAATTCACAAACTATAATTATTAGAACTCATAAGAAATTATTTTCTTTGGTGTTGGAATTAATGTTTAATATTTTAATATGAAACTGAAGCATAGCAGCAGGTCCTATTACAAGGAATTTACTGTTAACTAATCATGGGCCCTGGAGGCTTTCAATTCAAAATTGGAGGCATGAACCAACCAGTTATGATATTTTTTAAACATTCCATACATGAAAACATGAAAGAAATTCGTGGTATTACCAGCGCAGTTTGTTGAAATAATCATGTGTAGAAAATTTCAAGGATCCCCTATATTGAATGGTTCCTCATTTAAAGAAAGCACAATATAGGGCTAGAGAAGGTAATCTAGAGGAGAAAGATGAATAACAGAAGAATCATAGTATGAATATAAGGTTGAATTGACGGATCACAATAGATAAAGGAAACGATTACCTTTTCTTCGAACAAAGGGTCGATTGACTTTCAATATTATGAGTTAGGGCTTAGTGATTGTTTGAAGAAGAAGTAGACAGTTACATACTATCGTACGATCGTATGTGCTTGATTTCACGAAGATGCGTTACAGGAAAAAAAATTAGGGGTTTCTTGCAAGATTGGGTTTCTTAGACGCTGGTGTAGTTCGTATAAGTTAGGGTGAAGCCAGGAAAACGGTTAAAGGAGAAATGGAATCCTTAGAGGAGGAAAACAGGATATGTTCGTAAGATGGAGAAGATCTGGCGAACAAGATTTGTTGGAAGTCGATGAAGCGCATTGAAACGTTTGGAAGCAACTTATCCCAAATGGTGGGAAGAAAAGTGAAACGATAGATCTTATTTTGTGCCGGTCAGAAGGTACCATACGTGGCATAATGGGAAATGGGTTTTTTTTTTATTTAGAAGCGAC